CGTGACGTAAGTGTAGGGCTTTTTATTAAAACAAGAATTATTCAAAAATATGCTGTAATTGCTGATATCTTAGGCAACAAAGACATGTGTGTTTACGCTTTATTATAATAGTATAGAAGTATAGATTGGTATAAAAGCATATACGCTTTATTGTTTTTGCAAATTCCCTGGCTAAATAATGTGCTAAGTACATGTTTTTTTTTCTTCTACTATTTTGTAAAACTGCGTGTTCTGTTAGGAATCATTGAAAACCGGCGCTTCGGTGTACACCGAGCGCAAGCCGAATGAATTCCTTTTTGTTTTTTAAATAAACTGATTTCTTTTTTTCTTTCTTCGTCTATTTGGAGCTTTTGGAGCTTTGTCTATTTTGTCTTTAACATCTTAGCACTGCAAAGCCGGCAAGCCCGGTGTAATACCACGACCACACAGAAGACAGGCGTGAAATGGAAGCAATTCCGTGTTTCGTCTGATGAGTGTGGTGCCGGAGGCCTAATTTAAGTCCCTTTCTCTTTACCATCCTTTTCTTATAAGGAGAGCATTGTAACGCATCTGCAATTGCGGATGTCTATGGGCAGCGGTCGCTTCGCCATTTTGGTGGATTCAGGGGGCCGCTTGCTCGTTTGCCACCTTATGTTATAAAAAATTTGCACGGCAGTTTACATTAGAAGCAAGCATTGTGTAGAGAACGCGTCGACGCCGTACCAGGCGACGGTGTACATCGGCGGCATGCAGTACGGCGTGGGCTACGGCTCCAGCAAGCGCCAGGCCAAGTCCGCGGCCGCGCGCGCCTCCATACACATCCTCATACCGGAGATGCGCGACCAGATTGAACCTGCGCCCGCGCAGCAGGAGCCCGACTTCTCGGTTAGTAGTCACTAGCTGTTGCTCGCGACTTTATCCGCGTTAAAAAAGCCCATGTGACTAAAAACGTAGCTTTTTATTGGTGAAAGAATTTTTATAAAATAAAATATTGTGAATGCGAAAGTTTGGATGGATGTTTGTAAGAGTTTGTAGCTTAAACGGCTGATCTGGATGAATGGTATAGATGTAGAGGAATAGGAGGAATAGGATAGTCTGGAAGAACACGCTTTTGTTTTTTTTTAATTCCACGCGGACGGAGTCGCGGACAAAAGCTAGTTTTTTTATAATGTTAGATAGACATCTTTACAGAATGAATCTTACGTGATACTATACTAATATTTTATGTACTGGCTACACTCGTTTGAATATTTTGTACGAATTAAGACGCAAAAAAATAATTAATATGATTCTACGATAATATATCGATCAGTGGTTAATTGCTTTTATTACTATCCTGTCGTTTGCGTAAATCATTGTCACAAATTTTTATTTATAAAAAGAGGTAAACTCATAAATGACACACCGCGTAGGGCTTCGACTGTACACATATCGATGTGGTGTATAACTGCAATTAATATAATTTATATTTACTTTTATAATGCGTTCTTATAATTTTCAATGTTTTCAGTTTTTCGACTACGTGAGTATCGAGGACCCTCGTATCTCCGAGTTCTGTGCGGCGACGTGCGAGCCCTCCCCGCACGCCATACTGCGGACTTGCCTGCTGAGGAACTTCGGTGCTGGAGACAGACATATACATACTGAGGTATACAATAACTTAGTCACTACTTACCACTGAGCCCGATTCGTGTCTTCGTATGTGCTTTAACTCGCAATATCATACGATACAGGTGTTAGTAGTGGACTGTATATTCTGGTTTTTAAATAAAAATAACTTGCAGATTAGATGATATATTGTCAAATAGTAATTTTAATCACTTTCCCTTTCCACCCTTTTGTTAAGAGGAAAGGAAGAGAAGGAAAAGTGGATTTGACGGTGGAGGACACGCATAGGAAGGGGAAATGTCCTTTTTATGTACGTCTCCTTCGTCAATCAAGGGTTGGCAGCGCATCTGCAATTGCGGATGTTTATGGGTAGCGGTCGCTTTCCATTTCGGTAGCTTCAGGTGGCCACTTGCTCGCTTGCCACCTCATATTATAAATAAAAACAAGGTCAAATTAAGAATAATACAGTATGTGTTGCTGGGTGGTGGATCGGAGCGGAACTGGCCGCGCGGGGGAGGGACGAGGGCTGAAAGTGCCCCTCCACCCCTCCACCCCTCAAGCCTGCCGGTGTTGCAGTGAGACGCAACAACAAGCTAGTGGAAGCAATGCCATGTACAGAAGAGTGTGTGTGTCGGAGGCCTTATTCGCAATATCGGATGCGTTGTCTACCCTAAATCGACGGAAACGCACATAAAGAAGATATTTCCCCTTCCTATGCGTTTCCTCCAACGTCAAATCCACGTTCCCTTATCCTCTTACAAGAAAAGGATGGAAAGGAAAATTGAGTAATATTGTAATTTGCTGGCAGATGAAGAAGCTGGAGTACCAGAAGATCGAGCTGACGATGAAGGTGGGCAAGCACAGCGCCACCGTCGTCTGCAAGAACAAGAAGACCGCGAAGCAGCGCGCCTCGCAGTCCATACTGCAGGTACATCTCTGTATATGTCATCTGTCACATTCCCACGTCTACCTTCTACCAGATATCTTCCAGTCAAAGTCCCGTCCAAATCAGTCCATCGGATAGCGGACCGGTCGCCATTTTGACAGTGCGGAATTAAAAAAAAAAGTGTAATATACTCGTCTATGTCTGCTATCCTCCAGTGAAAGTCAGGTCGAAATCTGCTCAGCCGTTTCGTTTTACCTGGGAAAAACGCGGCTTGCGGACAACAGACAGACTGACAGACATACAGACAAATATATTTTAAATTCGAATTTCGTTATCAGCAATGCAAATACTTCTTCCCGAAATCTGGATTTTTTTTTATATTACAAAACGCTACTCCAATTTTATTTTTTTAATTTAGTAAAAACTGCAATTAAAAATATTCCAGGCGTTACACCCTCACGTGAGATCCTGGGGCTCTCTTCTGCGTCTCTACGGCTCTCGTTCTGTAAAGAGTTGCAAAGAGAAGAAGCTAGAAGAACAGCAGATCACCCTCTTGCAGGACAAAGCGCGTCAGAACGAGCCGAATTACGCCGTGTTGGAGAAACTGCGCAATGAAATGCTTAAATTAAGGGAAAGGGATGAAGCCGTGGTACCTATAGGCACCCTCCTCCTCCCCGCAGACCTCCCCCCTTCTGCTTCTGATCTCAATCATGTCCAATTGTAACATCCATACAATTTACTATTTTTCATCCCCCCCTATCTGTCAGATTAGTAAGTACATTTTTGCTAGATATGACTGTTGCTCGCGATTTCGCCCGTGTGAAATTAAAAAAAAAAAACTGAATATAACCTATAAATAAACCTTTCTAATGGTGAAGGAATTTTTAAAATCGGATCAGTTTTTGCGTGAATCAAATACATATAAAAATCCAAATTCCTTTTTATTATCAGATATAGATTAATATAGGTAAAATTGCCAAAAAATGTTCTTTTGTAATTCAATTAGGATACTTATTTTTTTTTTATATATCGAGTGATTTTTTAATGATTTAATCGCTTGTCCTATAATGTAATGATATTGTGTTTATCATTCTGACGTATGGCAGATATAATCTTCTAACTGTGAGACGTCGCGTGGAATTAAAAAAATAATAAAAAGCAAACTTGCACAGGAAATTTAGCTTTTTAATGGTGAAAGAATTTTTGAAATCGGGCCAGTAGTTTTTGAGTTAGTGACATACAGAAATACAAAAATGTTTCGATTTTATAAACTAAAGGCCAAAAAATGCTCTTTTTTTTGAGATAACTTAGTTTTTATGTCAAAATTATTTTATATTATTATCTAAATTGTGCATATTTGTATGCCATATTTCTTGCTAACACAACTTTCCCTCCATTGGGGTCTTCCATAGACCAAGTTACCTATACTAGAACATTCTGGAACATCCTACAACGTTCTAGAACGTTCTGGAGTATGTTCTACCGAGCTTTTATTGCTGTAACGGTATCTACTGTCGACTACAGATACAATATATATCCCATTTATTAATTATAATAAAAAATGATTTAAAACAATCTCGACAGTGATTTTACAGTTTTTACAATAGGAAAAAATTCGTATTTTTTTTTTGTAATTTTATTTCAATAGTATTTTAGCAATGCAATCGTTTAGTTAAACATAACTATAGTAAAGGGATAAATAATTAAGGGCCTGTCCCACTGGCTGTTAGCTCAGATAGCTTAAAAATGACGTCACTGTCAGATAAGGTAACAAAATCCGATATTTCCATCACATTTTACACGTTGGATTGTTATCAAACAAGTAGCTATTCCCGTGTCGCTTCATCCGCATGAAATAATGAAAATTTTATTTTATTGTTTACATTTGTCAAATTATCAATAGCAAATGTCAAAATGACATGACATAACAAACCTTAGCAATCTTTCTTTCTTGATGTTGGCAGCAACTTAAGGTCTCTTTCCCACATTAGGGTTTTTATCCAAAATATTTACCCCCTAAGTTTAATGGTGTGAAAATATATAGCCTAAAGCGTGACGTAAGTGTAGGGCTTTTTATTAAAAATAGAATTATTCGAAAATATGCTGTAATTGCTGATATCTTAGGCAACAAAGAAGTGTGTGTTTACGCTATATTATAATAGTCTAGATTACAATTTGGTGGGACAGGCCCTAAATATTTTGTATTAACTGTTTTCGTGCGGCTTCATTTTATTTATGTTTTGTAAAACTTTCAATGGCATGTTTAAATTTTTAATTAACAACGAAGGTTAACCTTTGGCTTTAAATTTATAAGTAACCATGGCAACCTTGCTTTGCTTCTAGTTTCTAGTAGTTTTTGTCTCTGTCGTACTCCGTTTTAATTTTATAACTTGTTTAAGTGTAGAGGTTGTTATTAAAGGAGCACTAAAATATGCTGTGATTGTTTATAAAAGTGTGTTTCATTATATTAGTATAGATATATGGCAGTATTTTTCTCAGTGGAAATCCTGTTAAACCCTCCCCATGTATTGTGCCCTCCACTTATCTGACTTTTTGCTGTTAACGAATATGAGAATGTTAGTGTAAGTAAGAGTATATGAATATTTCCTCCATTAGTTTTATTATACAATGAGAATATTATAATAACGAAATCGTATAACAGTTCCGTAACTCCAAAATGGTTGAAATTAAATAATTACTAACATTGAAGTCTATGTACGAAATATTGCTATCCCTGTCTTTAGACAGTAATGTTTTAAATGTCTGTGGAAATCCACGTTTATTTACACATTAGTTCCTTTAACAAGATATTTTCCTCTACAATTCGGGCAATAGGAAATGTTTTTGACTGATCTGTATGAATGGATAGGCCTTGAAATTACAGTTTTTGCCTCGTTCTGAAATTAAGGCGTCTTTTTAAGTCACTAAACTATTTATATAGATAACTAATAATTTAATTCGAATTCTCAACACCACGACACGATACCATGTCTTAGCCTGTCCATTTATAGAGGTCAATGTTTTTATATACCTTTAATAATGATTAAAAAAAACGAAATCAAGTAATTAAATGTTTAGTATTAAGAGATACGTGTAAGTTTTGATTAGCAATAATTTTCTGCTTATTGTAGAAGAGCATTTAATTTGATTGAAAGAATATTATAGCAATAAAATTTATTAATTTTTCTCTAAAACATGTGTTCAATAAATTGTTTATACATATCTGGGAGTAAATAAATAATTAAAATTAGAATAAAGAAAAGAAAAAAAAAATGTATTCGAGCAAATACTATGAATTTTTTTATGTTTTTTGACAAGTAACAATGTTGCCAGTGTTAAAGTATGATATGAATAGATTAAAAATATTTAGCTATGAAATTACGTAAGGCTCTAAAATGCATTATTTGTACAGTAAATTGACATCAAAGAGTAACAATAATGCCCGGTTTCTGAAATCAATTTAAATACGATGAATTCTTTCAATATTTTATTATTGTCTTACAGGATTGTCTATTTTTATTTATTATGAAACAATTTTGATATGATTTGTATTGTGTTTCCGACTTTTGTTACTTTTGTATAGATCGACTAAGTTTCCTGACTCAGTGGGAATAATTCAAAATAGATTATGACAGCTCATTGTCAAAAAAGTAACAAAAATGTTCTTTAGTACAGTATGGTCAAACAAAGATTTCTAGCCTCTTAGCCCTTTTGTACAGAAGGCAATGCTAATCAGCGTTTTTATTCTCTGCCAAAGAAATAAAATAAATAGGTAACAGCTTAATTGATAAGACCATGCCTAAACTTTCAATTTCCGTACAAATTTTGACGATTGTAAGCGCATACGGAGCGAAGTATTTAAAATGCGTTTCAATATTTGGCCGTAAGCGACTCACGGAATACAAATTTATTGAGACATTGTATTTTGCAAGCAATTTAAACTATAATCGCAGTTTATTTCCTCGTGTAAAGAAAGGGATTTAGAGGCATTGCTAATGGTTTTCTTAGAAATTATAACAAAAATGAGATGATATCTGCAGTACAAAAATTTCTTGACAATTTTTAACATTAACAGAAAGGCGCTAGTGTGCTATCATAATTTAGTTTGACCACAGATAATACAATGCTATACTCGTAGTACTGGTACACTACTATTACGGTAGTACTCGTAGTAACATCGTATTCGTACTTTACTAGTACACTAGTATACTTAAAAGTTAATACTAAAAGTATTTTAATCCAATAGTGGTCTATAGTACTAGTACAAGTACGGTATACTAGTACTCCGTACTACGGTAAAGTAGTGTACTAGTATGGTAGTACGATAGTACTAGTACACCACAATTAGTAGTACTAGTACTGATGCCCCCAGGACAACTCTTCGGTCTAAAAGTATATTTTAATAAGTTTCAGAAACTGGGCTTACAATGTAACGATAAATTGCCCACTAATATTAAGATAGCTAATTGTATTTTTAATGGAAGTGTTATATGAAAATTTAGTTTTACTCCGAAACAATTGTTCAATAAAGGTGGCTTTTAGATTGTTTTCATTGTTTTATTTTTGTACACTTTTTCCTTTGATTTTATATATTAAAAGAAGAAATATCTTTAGTTGAGTATAAAAAAATCTGCCTGCCCATATACAGGGTTAATGGTGACTCGACGTATTCCCGCTAGGAGGTGATAAAGGGAATCAATTGTGGTAACCATGTTTTTTTAAAACCACGAACTCATTGGTTGACTTTTGTATACATGTGGGGGTCAAAATTACCAGAAATTATGCCCTTTATCACCTAGCGGGAATACGTCGAATTACCAATAACCTGTATAAGTGTTACTATTTGTATTATAAGGGAAAATAGAAATAAAAGACGTTATTTATATGAAATTGTATTTTGTATAAATAAAGACAATATTTTCTAGTATATAAGAAGAAGTTTGAGAGTAGCCTCAGTGGTTGAAAATAAGGAGTAAAAGGTTAGAGTGGTATGGGCATGTTATGAGAAGGGATGAATCGCATGTAACAAGACGGACGTTAGTTATGAATGTGGAGGTACATTGGTAGAGGTAGACCTAGAAAGAGATGGCTGGATTGCGTGAAAGGTGACATGATGAAGAAGGGAGTGATGACTGAGATGACGGATGATAGAGTTATTTGGAGGACGAAAACCCGGTGCGCCAACCCTACGGGAGTAGAATTAGGCCGGGGAGATGATGATTTCCTAGTATACATACATCATAAAAAATCTAACCTAAAAAACCTTAATATAGCAGCTTGGATATAAAAATAATTTAATAAATTATAGGTAAATTTAAAAATTAGCTTCTAAATAAATTACACAAAATATATGAAAAAACTTATCATTTCAAAATGTGGTAGAATTTAAAGTTTGTGAGTGAAATTAAATAGTTTTCAACTAAAATATTTACAAACTAACTGTCAAATATAGTAATTTATTTGTATGTTGTGGCATAATGTCATTGTAAGGTCGCCCAGGGCGCCCAGGGCCGCGCGGCGTGTCTACTCTCGCTGGCTGTCAACACGTTTGACACGTCGCCAGTCGGGTAAGCCTGATGGCAACAAAAGTATTAACACATTTTTTATTAATAAAGGACGTTCTGAAAACGTATTAGAATCTGAGGGCTTATTACGAATTCTTGAAACCGTTTTTGTAATATTTTCATTTAACTAATGGCTCCACGGCTGTATAAACTCAAAGAATTCTATAAAATGTGTAAAAAAAACTTGTAAGAAGAAGAAAACATATAAACGTATCTAAAAAAATAAATAAAAGAACAAGGTAAAGAATTAATAAAAAAAGATATAACTAGAACTACAGCTGCAGGAATTTAAAAAAAACTGTTACGCGAATATTCCTGATAGACCCCTGCATTTAAAGTTTATTTATAATTAGAATTTATACGTTAATTCTTATGATTTTGAATACGATTTTATAAAAAAAAATGTGCTATTTCTGTATAGTGAATTAAATACTTTTCAACAATATCCAAGTACTTAATATTGCAATTAAATTAATTAAAACAGTGCTCTAACTACGTGCGAGTGTTTAACTCACGTAGACAGAAAGGTATGGTCCTACTGTCAGCGGGCTGTGTCTTTGCATGGTTCAATTACTGACACTGATATCTAAAATAAATACAACTAAATTTTAAACAGTAAAGTCATCAATTTAAATAATTTGACGTTTTTTTGCAGAATTGATCTGCAGCTCACGGTGAGTGGAACGGTTGAACTAAGAGTGCTAATTTAGTTGAGCTTAATGGCTCAGGTCTATAAGAGCTAAATTGTATATTTTACTAACATTATAAATGCGAAAATTTAGATGGATGGATGTTTGTTAGTTTGTAGCCTAAACTACTGAACCAATCTGGATGAAATTTGGCATATTTGTTGAGGATAGTCTGTATTCAACATAGGCTACAATTTTTGTTATAATTCCACGTAGACTGAGTCGCGGGGGAAAGTTAGTTAATAGCTCTATATGATTCTATTTAAAAAAACATTATTAGGCCAATCTCATTTAGATTGAAAGGGCCAATAGCCTAATGGCTTGGGGTACGGATTACAGATCTTGAGGTCGAGGCTTCGAATCCCGCCATTCGACTATTGTGAACCATATCCTAGCACAAGCCTAGAGCTTAGTTGGAATGTTGAAAGGAATTAGTAAATGAACACAAATTTATTAATATTTTATGATAAAAAATATGAATAACTGACTTGTGAGAGCCAGCGCTGCTTGATGAAGTCGGCGGCGCGCTCCCCGAGCATGAGGCAGGCCGCGTTGGTGTTGCCGGAGGGCGCGGCGGGCAGCGCGCTCGCGTCCGCCACGCGCAGTCTGTCCACACCCTGCACCTAATATACCTTTTGAGTTAATACTTTGATACTCGCGACTTCACCCGCGTCAAATTAAAATAATATATATGTCGCAATTAGTATATTAGAGGAAGTTTGAGAGTAGCCCCAGTGGTTGAGAAAATAAGGAGTAAAAGGTTAGAGTGGTATATGCACGTTATGAGAAAGGATGAATCGCATGTAACAAGAAGGATGTTAGTTATGAATGTTGAGGTACACCGGTAGAGGTAGACATAGAAAGAGATGGATGGATTGCGTGAAAGGTGACATGGTCAAGAAGAGAGTGATCACTGAGATGACGGATGATAGAATGCTTTGGAGGACGAAAACCCGCTGCGCCGACCCTACGGGAGTAGGATAAGGCAGGGGAGATGATGATGATGATGATGATATGTCACAATTAGAAGAAGAAATCAATTTGAATTTAAGTCATAATTAGAACACGAGCGCCGCCACGATTTTCGTGAGAACTTAGATTATTCTGAAAATAGGGATTGTTACGAGAACATTGTTTGAACGATATGAGCTTGGTAGATAGATGATATCCTGATTGAGGAGTATTGTGAATGTGTTCCTGAAATCCGACTTTACCCATGGCCGTCCACATGTCATCTCGAGTACTAGTAATTCTGATATCGTGCTAGCTCAAGCCGACATTGAAAACGTAGCTTTTGAATTTAGAATTTTTGAAATTAGCCCAATAGTTTTTAAGTTATTTAAAACCATACAAATATAGCAAAATGTCATAAACTAGGTATCTACACTAATATTATGAAGAGGAATTTCTAATACAAAGGCATAGATTACATTTTTTTATTATTGTTATTTCACTTGAAGGAAGTCGCGAGCAACAGCTAGTCTATAATAATATTATAAAGAGGAAAGATTTGTATTTTTTTATCTATTTGAATATAAAAACGACTGAATTATTAAAAAAATTCTTTCACCATGAAAAAGCTACGTTATCACTAAGAACATAGTCTAAAAAAAAATTATATTTCATGATTTCACATAAACGAAGTCGCGAGCAACAACTAGTAGTCAAAATTCTATTCTAGTATACCTGTAGTAGAGGATCTAGGACCGCGTCAGGGTCTCCCCGAGGTCCCATCCTGCAGGAGCCGGCCTGGTGGTTCTCCGGCCCGGTCTGCATCCTGACCGCGCACTCCCAGTACGCGTCGCAACCGAACTTGAACTTCTCACAGCCTTTTACTGGCGTCTTGTTTAATTTTAAACCGTATTTCTTTAACGCTTTGGTCTCTGATAGCTTGATCACGAATTTTATGCCTTCGATTAATGTTTTCACGTCATCTGGATGGGTTAGGTAGCTAGGAGAAATTGTGTAGGCTTCAGAATTCAGTACAAAAAATCATACTAATATTATAAATGCGAAAGTTTAGATGGATGTTTGTTAGAGTTTGTAGCCTAAACGACTGAACGGATTTCGATGAAATTTGGTATAGATGTAGAAGATAGTCTGGAAGAACACATAGACTACTCACTTTTGTTTTTTAATTCCACGCGGACGAAGTCGCGGGCGAAAGCTAGTATGTAATAATTCAAAGTGAAGAAGTAATCACTTTAGGGTTAACTAAAATTCGGTAGTGTCCAATGTGACGTATAACTAATGTTTTTTTTTTATTTCATATCTTAAAATATGACTACTAAAAATCATTTATTTCGCTACAAAATTGATATGAAATAACCATTGGCTAAATAAAAACAATAACTCTCGTGCTAGTAAAACGCGGCAGGAGTGTTGTGACGTCACCAAACAACAAACAAAGCATTTTATTGGTTCTTAGTTATCAGAAGTCAAAAAGTGATTCAATTCACTTATGCATCGACCGATAGCATTGCATTTTAGAACTTGGCAAGATAATTTTAATGATTTAACGCTACTAAAAGTGAATATATTAAAAAAAAATTATAAACAAGTTTTTAAAATATAAAAAATCCCTATGATACTTACTTGGCATAAATTTTGGGATATGCGAAGGGGTCGCTGCTGGCTATCTCCAGCCGCCCCCTGCTCTTGGGGCGCAGCACCGCGGGGAACACCTGTATGGTGCGGGAGCCGCCGCCGAGGCTCTCCCCCACCATGCCGGTCTTGGCGCAGTCCGCGAGGAAGCCGCCGAAGAACAGCTGGATGTCAGGGTTGTCTCCTGCGGGGTCCGCGTACTTCGTGTTGATGAACGCTGTCACCTCTGATATACCTGGGTAAAAGAAGACTCTAGAAGATACTCATGCTTATGGATAGCTTATATGCTAAGTATAAATGTTGAGTTTGCTCAATTTAAAGTGCATATCATATGGTTCCAGGATTACAATGGTAGAGCCCGCTTTAACATCTTCGCACGATTGGGCCGGCTCGCCCGGTGCAACCACGACCACATAGAAGACAGGCGTGAAGTGGGAGCAATTCCGCGTACAGCCTGATGAGTGTGGTGCCGGAGGTCTAATTTTAGTCCCTTTCCCTTTCCACTCTTTTCTTAAGAGGAGGAATGGGAAGGAAAAGTGGATTTGACGGTGGAGGAGACGCATAGGAAAGGGAAATGTCCTCTTTTTGTGCGTCTCCTCATGCGTCAATGAAGGGTAGGCAGCGCATCTGCAATTGCGGATGTTTATGGGCAGCGGTCGCTTTTAATTTCGGTGGATTCAGGCCGCTTGCTCGCTTGCCACCTTATATTATAAAAAAAAACGAAATTGAATAGTTAATTATACACACTAATATTATCTAAAGGAGTAAAACCGTAGCATAAATTTATAATTTAGTGACTATTAGGGCCTGTCCCACTAAATTCTAAATAGTCTGATAACAATCTAACGTGTAAAATATGTGATGGAAATAAAGGATTTTGTTACCTTATCTTGTTACGTCATTTATAGCTATCTGAACCTATATCAGCCAGTGTGGGACAGGCCCTTAATAATCTAACCGATAATTAAGTAACTGAATGATATCTTCAGTAATGATGTCAGGCCTGAATTTGCCAAAATGGCAAAGTGACCGCTGCCCATATACGTCAGCAAATGTAGATGTGTTACCCAATTTTAATCGACAGAGAATCATATAAAGATTTTAGTCCCCATTTCTGTCTCTAACGTAAAATCTTTTTACCTTTTCCACCGATTCCTTAAAAAAAAACGAGAAAAAGAAGGGATTAAAATAAGACCTCCAATACGCACACAAACTTACCAGTTCCAGACATAAGACCATCCCTGAATAGGAGATATTCCATAGCCGTGGCCCAGTTGAGTGGCGCGGTGTTGTTATCCTTGAGGATGAAGCTGAGGAAGTGTGTGACGTGGTTGTGCAGGTTGCGGCCCACCGCGGGCAGGGGGTGCACCACCCCCACCCCCGCGCGCCGCAGCACGGCGGGGTCGCCCACGCCGCTCAGCTGCAGCAGCTGGGGGGAGGCCACCGCGCCAGCACTGGTACACACTCCACATTCAGAATCTTTTAAGTTATTAGTTGATATTGTCTGCGTGGAATTAGCACTGATGAAGCTTTTTTTTTTTTTTTTTTTTATTTATTTACGGATAACTTACAGCTAGCTTAAAAAAACAATAATAAAATAAACAAAAAATGAAGGCCAATTACAAGTTACAAGTTTTTTTTTTTCTATTTTTTTAATTTTAGTTTTTTAATTTTCTATCTATACTATTATAATAAAGCGCAAACACACTTCTTTGTTGCCTAATGTCAGCAATTACAGCATGTTTTTGAATGATTCTTTTTTTTAATAAAAAGCCCTACACTTACGTCACGCTATAGGCTATATATTTTAATGCCATTAAACTAAGGGGGTAAATATTTTGGATAAAAACCCTAATGTGGGACAGAGACCATAAGTTGCTGCCAACATCAAGGAAGCAAGGTTGTCATTTTGACAATTTTAATTGATAATTTGACAATTGTAAACAATAAAATAAAATTTTCATAATTTCATGCGGATGAAGTCGCAGGGTAACAGCTAGATCAGAATAATTCAAGACGTGACGTCTGTGTGGAGTTAAAAACTACAGTAGACTAGTAGGCTATGTGTTCTTCCAGACTATCCTCTACATTTATGGCAATCATCGAGATCCGTTATGTAGTTCAGGCTACAAACTATATAAAGTATCGAATTCAATTTCTATGAAGGCAAATGCCATACTTAATAGACAGGTATCGATATTAACTTAACTCAACTAAAATTATTATTTTCTTATTAACTAATTTATAGGACAATTCTAGTATTGATTATAGTGTAGAGAATTTAGCGATGACAGAAATAATAGCGAAATCCAATTCGATTACGTACTGTAGTAGTAATAAACATTTATTTACTCTCATTATTTGTTATGGTCATTATTAATTTGAGAAAACAGTGTTTTTTTTTTAATTCAAAAATCGATTCCAACCTCTATAAGAATAAAAATCGAAAATCGATAAGATTCATGACTGATTTTACACAACCCATCCCTACTACATTTGAAATGAATTGTCAAACTAATTTAAATTATTTAGACACACTATAATATAATAATATAGATTATTTTTATTTTAACATCCACGAAATCGGAACATATAATCTAATGGAAAAAATCAATATCTTACCTTAAAATAATTTCATTGTTAGCGAATATAGTCTCCATAGTGCCGTAGCTGTTCCTAAGTTGGACGGCGTACGCTTGCCGCGTCTTCTGGTTGATGAGCACTTTGGTGACGGTGGCGTTGAGCATGACGTGCAGGTTGCGGCGGCGCAGCGCGGGCCGCAGGAAGGCGCGCGCGGCGCTCAGCCGGGACCCGTTCCTATTGGTCGTTTGAGCGATCGCGAACCCCGTGTGATGTTCCCCGTTTAAATCGCGCGATTTATAACCTAAAAGGTTATATTACCAATTATCAAGACTCGTGAGATGACTATGTGATTTATTAGCTGTTCCCGTGTGGTTAAATCCGCACGAAATAATGAAATAACTAGCTTTTGTCCGCGACTCCATTCGTGTGGAAATAAAAAAAACTAAAGTAGCCTATCTTCTATATATGTCAAATTTCATCGAGATCCGTTCAGCATTTTAGGCTACAAACTCTAACAAACATCCATCCATACATACATCTAAACTTTCGCATTTAACTATAATATTGGTAAGATTAGTAAGAAGTAGGAATATTTCATTGTTTTCATTTGTCAAATTCTCAATTAAAATAACCTTGCCTCCTTGATGTTGGCAGCTCGTAACTTATGGTCTCTTTTCCACATTTTTAATCCAATTTATTTACTCCCTAAGTTTAATAGCGTGAAAATATATAGCTTAAAGCGTGACGTAAGTGAAGGGCTTTTTATTAAAATGGGAATGAAGGATGTAGAACATAAACTGGAAGAACACATAAGCTACTCACTTTTGTTTTTTTAAATTCCACGCGGACTGAGTCGCGGGCGAAAGCTAATGACTACTGTTAATAAAAATATTATTAACAGTAGCCTCTTATTAATAATAATCTAATTTCTGGACAATTTTTTTTTTTTATAATATAAGGTGGCATACGAGCAAGCGGCCACCTGAATCCACCGAAATGGAAAGCGACCGCTGCCCATAGACATCCGCAATTGCAGATGCGTTGCCTATCTTAATTGACGGAGGAGTAGACGCACATAAATAGGACATTTCTCCTTCTTATGCGTCTCCTCCACCGTCAAATCCACTTTTACTTCCCATCCTTTTCTCTTAAGAAAAGGGTGGAAAGGGAAAGGGACTAAAATTAGGTCTCCGGCACCACACTCATCACACGAAACGCGGAATTGCTTCCACTTCACGCCTGTTTTCTGTGTGGTCGTGGTATTACACCGGGCGAGCCGACTTATTCGTGCGAAGATGTTAAAGCGGGCTCTACCACTGATCAATTTTGAATTAGTGACATTTTTCTAATATCTTAAATGCTAGAGACTTCATTAAATTGTCAGAATAAGTCATCTTACCTAATTCTTCACCAGCTTTAACAATGCTGTAGCTGAGCGGCGGATGGTAAGGGAACTGTGAGACGGTGAGGGGTCCGCCAGTGCCGTGGTAGCCAGGGTCCATCTCCGCAGCCTGCTTATTGTCCTCCGACTTGATGAAGTACGGTAACACGTCGTCATAGGACCAGCCCTCGATGCCGGCCGCCGCCCAACTGTCGTAGTCCTTGCGGGAGCCGCGGATGTACATCATGCCGTTCATAGCTGATGTGCCACCTAACACCTGCTCATTATGAAGTATTGAGGACGACATTATTCTGTTGTAAATCAAAGATATTGAAATATATAGACCGGGAAATTTTTATACTGGTTCTTTCTTCGAAAGGTACTATCAGTAGTCAATTTTAGTGCCACCTCGTGTACTTGTGGCATGTAATGAATTTACAAAATTATAATAAACTCCTTCTTTTTGACCGACTTCCCAAAAGAAGGACGTACTCAATTCGTCTGTATGCTTTTTTTGTTATAAAATAAATGTAAACAGTGTTACAACCAAAGACATTAAAAAAATACATAGACGCGGCATTGAACAAAATGTTTTCACCGGTAACTTCTTTGCAAGATAGCAATTGTCAAGTTTAGGGCCACCTCGTGTACTTCTGACATGTAAAAAATTCACAAAAGTAATTTCAACTTGAAAGATTAAGCTTTATATATAAAAATAAAGAGTTACAAAATATAAAATAAAAATTTAAATAAGACCTATTAGCAATTAATTATGTGTTTTTGGAACTATCAATAGATAGCGTAGTGATGATTATGTAAAAAATATGTCAAGAACTGTCAACTGTGCCTACTCTATCTATCATTTGAAACTCTTTAACTATACCTTTCCTCTAGGCCAGTAGCAGCGGCGCTCGTCCTCGCCGAGGCAAGCGGCTGGCTCGGGCTCCGTGCGGTATCCCCAGTCGATACTGGACCCGATGAAATTCAGGAACATTGAAGGTACTTGGCTGCCCGTAGGCTCGTCAAAACCTTAAGAAATAGATTAATCTAGAAGTCAATTAAAGAAAAGAAAAGTTCTCTTGGAATACTTATCATAATTTAATACTAGCTCTCGCCTGTGACTCCGTCCGCGTGGGATTATAAAAAACTATAGAAAGAAGTCTACGTGTTCTTCCAGACTATCCTCTACATCTCTACCAAGTTTCATTAATATCCGTTTGTTAGTTTTGGCAACAAACTCTAACAAACATCCATCCATCTAAACTTTTGCATTTATAGCATTATTAAATAATCATACTAATATTATAATTATGAAAGTTTAGATGGATGTTTGTTAGAGTTTGTAGCCTAAACGGTTGAAAGGATCTCGATGAAATTTGGTATGGTTGTGTATAAGTTCTGAAAGAACACATAAGGTGCATACTTTTTTAAAGCCACGCAGACGGCGACACGGGCGAAAGCTAGTTAATAATTAGTAAGAAGTGATATGGAGTTGAATAATTTTCATAAAAAATAAATGTAGCTTTATTTTAAATTACAATTGTACTTGCTTAGTCATATTTCTATCAGTTTCGACTATTGAACAAATGAACACAAACGTATTAGCTTTTTTTCTCCGTTTACTCATATTTGAATACTTACCGGCTTCTAACAGCAGTACCCTCCAATGCGGCACTTCTGACAGCCTGGCAGCTACCACAGAGCCAGAGGACCCTCCGCCTACCACTATGAAGTCGTACACAGAGTCCATATGACGACGGTACTGGGGAAATAAACTATTATTTAAAAAAAAGATTGACAACCTCTGTATTTAGGGTGGGTATTGAATTGCATTCGATAAAATCAGAGGTAAGAAACATTTTTAAAGTTTTATTAACTTTTTTTTGCGTGTATTGGAATCATAAGCTTTCGTATTGTTTCTTTGTTTTATATTTTCTTATGATGAATTATTCCATTTTGATGTAGACTGAGAATTCCGCGACCGCATCTTTTGGGAACGATCTCGTTTGGTAATGTCGGAAATTCTCAGCATTGTTACAGTTTTTTATATAATTCATTATTTTATAACATTGCGATTTGAAATCATTAATGCTAAAACATTTCATAGATTATTTATTACATAGAGCGGGCGCACACTTTAGACTAAACAATCGCACAACTGCTGTGCGATAGTCGTTTGTTTCACAGCCAGTTCAACTGCAACTAAAAATCGAGTGGTGTGTTCACCTCCATATAAGCTCATAGAAATCAAAGCCAGACTAAACAGTTGTGCGATAATAACATCCTTAAACAAAATAAAACAAATAAAATAAAATAATGTTTAATCCTTGTCAACACTACAATTATGAATCAAAAAAAGTAATTAAATACAATATAATGAGAAACGTAACTAATGAAATGAAAAAAAAAAGAAATATTTAAAATTAGCGTTGCAATGCTGATTGGATTGGGTCCTCGCTCAGCTTACATTGTTCATGTAATTTAATTTGTAAACAACGACAACATAGCACAACCTGATTTAAATTATTGTGCTTAGAAATATTGAAGGAAAATCCACAATAGACTAGCAATGTTCTATGCCTCACCTGCGCCCTACCACAAGGATCTTCTAAATCGCATTGACTCCTGAGGAATACTTCCAGTAAGCCCATGAAGAGCATAAACGCGCCGCCCCCACATGCTGCAGCTAGCGTCGGCCCCGGCTGCGACATCGGACAGTCGCACGTTATAGCCATCTGTGCAAAATAATCAGTCTAGTTTTAAGAAGAAAATTAGTATCGAGAATTGGCGCAACACTACATTATCGGCATAAACGTCACGTCCCTAGCTGACAGCTGTCAATGTCACTAGAAGGTTAGATATTGGCGCGCGATCGTGAGTCCTGACGTGATAGTAGGGGAGCCGACGATGCCAAATGGGGATTTACTCGAACGTCGTAGATACCTATTGGGATGCAAAGCTTAGATGATAAGAAGAAAAAAATGTTATGTGATATATAACTTTAGACCGGTGGGGGGAGAGGATATAGATTTTTAAATATGTAAAAAAAACTGTTGCATGGATATAATATAATTTTAGTAATGTACGTATGTTAATCTGATCGTTTGCATGATGCGGATGGTTGTATATAATGGTTGAAATGAAAAAAATGCTCTGATTCACTAATCTGACGATTTCGATAAGACGCAAACTCGCGGCCATTTTCACAATGTGCAAAAAAAATCGCAATTTTGAAATACTCAAACGCGTCAGATTAAGATATATGTGGTTCATCTTTATGTTCTACACGTACTGTCTCATAATCTGACGATTATCTAGAGGGATTCGCCTGCTATGACAAACAAAAAAATTAGAAAAACGGTTCACCTTAATCTGATCCTGTATCTTTCACGGGCGGCCTTATATATGGTCTTCATGTTTTGTGGAGGTACTTAGCCGGGTACAAAGTATCCCCTTATATATTAATCTGCCGCACTTTAGTAAATCCCGAAATCCCCGCTTCGGCTCCCCCCTACTATGAAGTGTTGCTCTGAGTGTAAACGATAGTATCAATTAAATAAATTGTTTAAAACTAGAACATTAAAGACCAATTAAAAGACCCATCACTAAACAGTCTATGGAGTTAATCTACCAGATTTTGATATAATATTTAAAGTAAGAGCCATTGAAACAGGATAAGGCAAAGTAATTTAGCGCCGCCTTATTTGTGTCGTCTTAAGAAATCGCGCAAGATCTTTAAATAACTATCGCACAACTGTCGTCCTATTGTCGATTGTTTCGTATCAAATTCAACTGTTTACACAACTTAAAATCGAGAAGTGTGCGCATCTCTATGTAAGCGGAATCAAAGCGAGACTAGATAGTTGTGCGATAGTTGAGTCGAAGGTGTTTGCGCTCTTAAAATAATCGTTGGACTAGTCGCACTAGAAACAGACCAAGAAAACTAGCAGAAACTTTGACATGATTCTCATCAAGAGATAATTTATTACAGCGCCATCTATGAATGAATTAAATAACACAAAATTTGAAGTATTGCATCTTATAAATCGGACAAGTTTTACATGTATCGTAATTTCACGTTCAATCACATATAAAATAATTTTGCCTCGAGGCAAAATGTAACAAGATATATGATATGGGGTATTTTACGTAACATAGGTAAATGTTTTAATGTCTCCAGTTTTATATGTTGCAATTTTAAAATGTAGATCAGAAGTCAGCAATCAAATTCAAACACCATGATTTAAGACCTTTTCTCGAGGTTATTAACCAATTTGGTTACTCAGTTATTTTCGAAATACAAAGTGTTAAATCGGTTTAAAAGTTTTGAGAATTTAACAGATTATTAACTAGTGACTGTCTAGTCGGTTTAGAATTTAAGAAATAAGACTGTTGCCTAATAAAACTAATATATTTTTTTAATCACAGCACGTACAATAGACTAGTATTATGACTATTTAAAGAATACGTTCACACTCGTAAACTATTGTATTAAAAACAGTAATAAGAGAACACTTGATTAGCCCGCGGTTTATCTCAATGCTGATTGGTCGAAAAAGTGCACAGAGTAAAATGTCATAGATTAAGTAAATAACAGTCACAGATTAAATAAACATCAAAGATTAAGTGACATCTAAGATTTTCGCGTGATTTATTACCGGTACTCTATGATTGTTTAACGACTACGTTAATTATGTTTAAAAATGATGGATGTTCGAGGGCAATTAATATGTTATTATGGTCAAGAATGGTTGCACATTAGGGTCAGTTTTGTTAGGAATATAATTGATCAACTGCACTGTAATCCGATTTGTCATGCAAAGATAACAACTTGCATGAATTGTAAATACATTTCTTAATTTAGGTATATTTGTAGTTAAAAAAAGAAGGCTGGATACATATGGCTCTTTTAGCATACGTTAGCCGATGGTTCTGAGAGTTGAAGACGCGAAATGTGTATTCACCGTAAAGGCTTTAATTGGTCATATCGTAAAAGTTTACGCAGCAAAGAATAACTGTCTATTACAGAGTTGAGGTTAGAAATTGCGTAACATCTCAATAACGTTAATCTTAATGTCAAGTTTGAACTAAATAGGAATTACGAAAATTAACTAAACGAATATTGTAAGATGGCAAACAAGTTAAATATAGGATTGCTATAAAAAAGGTATTTATTTGACTAAAATAGAGGGATTACCATATATGTTGCAAATCAACGTAAATAAACTTCCTTTAAAAGTCCGGAAAATAAATATGGCGGCGGATGCAAATGAAGAGGTTTGTTTTATGCGAAAATTACGTATTTAACGACTCTAAATCCATGTGAACAATATATATCTTAATTAAAATAAAAATAATGAAAATTATTTTGTATTTATAATTTAAATATTACTACTGTTAGGAATAAAATTAGTACCGTGCTATAGAATTGGCGCAACTCTAGATTATCGGCATAAACGTCACGTCCCTAGCTGACAGCTGTCAATATCACTAGAAGTATGGATAGATTTGGCGCGCATCCTAAGTCTTGACGAGAAGTATTGCTCTGAGTTAAAAGCGACAGTATCAATTAAATAAGTTGTCTAATACTACACAGAAATAGAAAAAAAAGTTGAAAATAGATCTTATTGTGTATGTAGTAAGATATGTTATTATGTACACAAATGTAACATTTAGATAAAACGTACTTTTATAGCTGTAATACCGTAACTACTCACAATTATCTCTCTTATTATGCAAGTACGAAACAGAAAGTACAACAGTACAAATAATCTTCAAAATTATAATTCGAAAGTACCATTATATAAGACGCATCTAAAATTTAATTGCTAAATATCAAACTAGCTATTCAATTTAAATACATTATAATTGTGCTTCGGCGTTTATCATTACATTCAATTACAATTATTATAATAACTAATAGCTAAACGTTGTCATTAAAACTTTAATTAAATAAATTGGCTACTAATTGCACTTAATTTATACGTCTAAGTTAATAAATAAATAAAATAATTCTATGTTTTCTTTTCAGAATCCGAAATGTGTCCCTTAAACTTCTGCAAAAATAGTCAATAAGACAACCGTATTCATTTGTTCTTTGTTATAATTAGGCATTTTGAGCACTGATTTGTTGTCAATGGTTAGGAGAAACAACAGCTTCTGCTCCGTTCGGACTTTTGATGTTAAAACTAGTGTTATTAGTTCAAAAACGCAACTATAAAATTGCAAGAATCAAGACACAAAATACTGCAGTTTATATCCAGTCCATTTATATTATGTCAGTGATTTTCAGTAAACCGGTCTTTTTTATCCCTTTATTTCGATGTTATAAAGCACTTAGCTTAGTAATTGTCTCGAATGTTCTATTCTAGAACTATCATTACAACAGCAGCCTTTTTATTAGCAATAAGTGGACTTCGACACTAAGTTCAAGTTAAAAGTCCTATGATTGTATTACGTTTACTTAAGATATGAAGGTTACTTAAACCATTAAGTCCACTTTAAGTTATTTTGTAGTATGTTATATAATAGTTACAGTTCTGTGCATTTTTTTACAAACTAGCTGTTCCCGTGCGGCTTCATCCGCATGAAATTGTAAAAAAATTATTTCATTGTTTACATTTGTCAAATTCTCAATAGAAAATGTCAAAATGACATGACATTACAAATCTTGACAGTCTTGCTTCCTTGATGTTGGCAACAACTTATGGTCTCTTTCCCACATTAGGGTTTTTATCCAAAATATTTATCCCCTAAGTTTAATAGCGTGAAAATGTATAGCCTAAAGCATGACGTAAGTGTAGGGCTTTTGATTACGAAAAGAATTATTCAAAAACATGCTGTAATTGCTGACATCTTAAGCAACAAAGAAGTGTGTGTTTACGCTTTATTGTAATAATAAAATAAAATAATAAAATAATAATAATAGTATAGATAATGATGAAATGATAATCTGATTATTTTGGGAATCATTTTTTTTTATTGTAAGAAAGTGATATTGTATCGTGTCAGAATTAAAATGAGTAAATGCCCTTTTCGTTTAATATGGGTTTTAATATAACATTCAACTAAGATACCTAAACCTATAAAAAAACTTCTTTTTTATTTCTTTGCAGAATTCTATTTCGCAATGTCTTTAGTTAAAGAGATAAATCAAAATCCATTACTAATAAGTTCACGTAACATAAATTATATACTGGTCAAACGTCTACAGTTATGTTACGTCTGAAATTGTTGACCTCCAGTGGGTCAGAAAGTTGCCTAAACCATAAATCAGTCGAATACGTATGACAGTAACAGATTGGATGATTAGTAACGGTGTAATAAATGACTTAATAGAATCATACTACTCGTAATACAATAGAACCTCGATAAGTTAAAGTCCAAGGGGGACACAAAATGTTTTAAGTTATCAAGAGTCTATGTTATAGAGGTTTTGGGCTCTGATGGGAAGGGAACATATTATTTTTTGAAGTTATAGAGGTTTTTAAGTTACCGAGGTTTGAGTTATCGAGTTTCTGCTGTATTATAATCAGTAATAAGAGCGAGCACACTTTGACCAAACTATCGCACAACTGCGATTGTCCATTGTTTCGCAGTAAATTCAACTGATTATTTGGTCATTAAAAATCGAGTAGTGTGCGAATCGAAAGAAAAGGCTTTTACCGCGACAGTCGGCCCGTATACAGAAGATAAGTTAACAGACTAACAATACTAATATTTTTTTTTTTGCATG